AGTTCGTCTTTCTGTGTAGTCACCAAGATGTAGTATTCTAGATCATGCGGACTTGGCTGTGTCGCAGCTGAACGTGAAGTTTCTTTCATTGCAAATTTAAAGCACTGTCAGCTCTTCCACCTTCTGTTAAAGGTTATTTATGACAGTCAAGAACAGGACAGTGCCTGCTGCTACCCTTCACACATAATCATTACATATTTCCAACTTTTCCTAAGACTTTAGGGGTGATTCTGAAGGAAAGGATTTCCTAGCTAGCCCCTGTACAACTGCTGACTAGACCCTTCATTTCCAGACAAATTGCCTTGTTATTATTTTTGCTAGGGAATACCATATAGGGGGAGGCCTTTATGCTAAGGATACCATGATACAAGAAAGGCTTTGAAAATAGACCTACTCCAGTCATGTTCCTTTAGAGGCTTGGGATGAAGGAAATGAAATTGCAAGTTTATTTTCATCTTAGTTAAGTAGATAAAACACTGGATTTCAGAAGCATTCTGCATAAAATATGAAATATATTGCAGAGGGGTTCTGGCTCCACTTAAAATATCATATGGTTGCTTCTTTGTTTAAAAACTGTGTATATTAACATGATGTAAGAAAAGACTTTCTCCATTAGTAACACATTGCAGACTGACTGACGAATCTTCCACAGGAACTTTCTGTCCTAGTTCTAAAAACTCAGTTACCTAATCTAAGGGTAATGTGTTTGTGTGTGTATGTGTTTTGACCGTGGGTATAGTGTGTCTCATTCTTTTTCCCCTCAATACACTACCTTCCTTGCTTATTACAAGAAATATATTTGTTCAGGGAAGGAGTTCTTAGCTAGGGTTGATTTCTGTCCTCTCTGCCCTTATGAAATAACCAGGTCACAGATTTTTTCAGTTGAGTCATTCTTTGTTCTTACTCTGCTTTAATCTGCAGTGAAGATCTTCTAACAATACAGCACTCTGCTACCCTTAGAAGTTGTAAGTATTCCAAATAAAGTAACTGGAAACATGTTACTGAACATTCAGAATGTCTTTTTCATTTTTCTGGGAAATTGGAGTAATCTTCTTTATTTAAAAAACAAAACAAACCAAAACAAACCAGATTTGACTTATAGCAAATAAATCTTTTGTGGCAACAGTTCCGTACTGAAATGAGAAATAAAATTGTGTTAAAAATGGTAAGTGAAGTAAGAAAAAAATTAGTGCTTACAAAGATTGATTTAAAAAAGAAAAAAGTAATTTTTATGTTTTTGTAAAAGTATACGTAGTAAAATAAAAATTAGAAGTTATTGTAATAATCTTTCATTCATTAGCTGTAAGCTTATTATGTGCTACTTACAGATGTCTGTGTACTCTATTTATAGCATTCCTCATAAAGAATAAGCATCTAGCTAAACATGAATAGATATAACATAAACACTTTTATATTTATAATTAACAGGAGCCATAGTATTATGTGATGTTATGAAATATTAGTGGCTGATACGGCCTCTGTTGTGCCACAGTACTAGCTAACGTAAACATAGCTGCTGTGGATCGCGTACTAGAGAGACTGTTTTGTTGATCGCCTAATACTCCTGTTTGTTTTTTTTCTATAAATGAATTGTCAAATAATTAGGTCCAGCATGTAAGCCTGTTTTTTAAGGGGGGGCAAAGCTTAAACCTCTAGAAATAAACAGAAAAAACCCCAAAAAACAATGCCAAGCATACTGTGTTTGGCTGCATTTATTTCTGTATACTGTAGAAAATCCAGAATACTTTAATGTTGGTAAGATTTTCCTCACTTTGTATTGGTAGAAATCATAGGCTTTTTTCCTTTTGATATTTGATACCTTGATGCTGTTGATAGGATTTGTACAAACACTTCCTGAATCGTTAGAAACTTAAGTTGTTAGGAACTTAAACACAATAATGCAGTTCAATGTGAAACCTTAAGCCTTACACAGAGGAGTTATTTCAAAAGACAGTGCTCCTTTAAACTGTACAAAATTTTTACAGGGATTTGTAGATTAAGATTTCTTTTCAAAATATTCTGCATAATACTTTCCTACTTATCTGCTAGAATTTAATATATGCTGAAATTACACTTCAATTACAAGAACAGTGAACAAAAATGCATTAATAACTTCAATCTAGGGGGCAGAATTTGAGAAAGAAGCCATGGACTTCAGACCTGCAGCTAGTTTTCTTGAATTTGTAAGATAAATCTTAATAATGAAAAGTAACATCTTGGTACAAATGGATTTAGATATGGTAAATTGAGTGCAGAAGTTTAAAGGAATGTTCTGATCACAGATATTTTGTTTCAGGGGCAAGAATTGTGAAGGAAGGGGTGTTGCCCATTGGACAAGCAGCAACTGAGGAATGCTGTTGCTGGCAATGTAATCGTGCATTCAAAGAGGAAATTTTAACATTGTATTTGTAAATAATGAATGTTATTTGTACTGATGCAAATGACAACTTTTTAATTTTTCCAACTGTTTTTGAGATTATTGCCTTGCTATAATAACATCTTAATTTATTTTTGAGAAATAAATTTTATTTTTTAGTATCTTGAGTTGCAGGAATTAATTTCAGCTGTCATTTTTTTCCAAGGATTTTAAACTGTGTACTTGTGTTTCACATCTGATTAAGAGCACAATGGTATTAACTTATTAACAGTTTTTGTTTGGGAATATTTTCTCCCTTTTATTTTTTGTACACATAAAATGTTGCAGACACAGTATCTTATTAAAATAGACCTGCTTGTAAGATGTTTTAGGACACTGATTTGATCATAGACACTGGCAAAACCTGCTTGCTTTACTCCAAGCAGTATCTTTCAGATGCAAAGGAGTGTGGGACAGGGCCATAAAGCTTGAACTTTTTTTTTCCCCAAACCAAAATCCATACTAAAATTACCATTGATTAAAATGGCATCATAACTATGCATTCTAAAACATATTTATTTCCAGTTTTCCAAAAGTAATACACAATTTAGCTAGTACAAATGGCTATTGGCCCCAGTTTCTAACACTTTTATATTTACGTAAGTGTCAGAAACTGCAAATATGGTTATAAGAGGCCTAAATCTGAGTCTGATTAACGCAAACATGATTTATGTGCATTAAGATGTGATTCATACTTCAGAAAATGAAGTTAATAAAGTTACTTGACATAAAGCAGAGGGACAGAATTGAATATATTGCAATTTGAAGATTAGGCCTAAGTATTTTGTGTATTAAAAGTGTATCTTGGCTATCTGTTGTATTTCAGCAACTCTGCAGGCAAAAGTGTGCTAAACTCCTTTCAGTGCTTATGCAAACATGTTCCACAAATGCAACTGTTCTACTTTAAGCGGTTATACAAAACGAGGCACACATTTTGCTACCATTGACAAGGTGAAGATACACTCATCTAAAGTGTTTCTGCAGTTTCAGATTATTTATTTTGCTAGTATGAAAATTATGATGTAGCAAAAAAATACTGTTTACTTATGGAAATAAATATATTGTGTGTTTTAAATCAAGCTATTTGTTTCTCTACATAAAAGTAAATGAAAAACATTAGAATTAGGTAGACCGGTGTAATAATTGAAAAATATTAAACTACTTTAATTTCTTTCCTCTCTTTAGGCAGATCAATTTTCCTTCAGGCTAGAAATCTATGCATCAAATTTCAGACAGATTTTTTTAGAGCAAAGGAACATGTAAGCCCTTCAAACCATGATTTCAAGTGGAAAATATAACCATTCTATAATTACCGTTGCATCACAACACTAGTGGAATTCTACTAAAGTAGTGTTGCATAAAGCCTTGCTTGCTCCTCCTACACACACTAAATATAAATGTGCATGAGCAGCAAAAGCAATTTGCCCAATATCTGAATCAGCTAAATAGCGTTTGCACTAAAATTGTGTATCTGGATACTAACTTCTCTGGTAAAACTGTGGGTCAAACCTGATGAATAAATAGAATCATAATTACATTCTCTCATTAACTTTAGATACTGTCTTGCTATGTTGTTGCTTGCCTGAGAAGTTAAAGTGAATTTATTTGTTTTGGAAGGGAAGGACTTTTTTTTTTTTTTTCTAATATCATAATTTCAATTAAATGTTTCTGTAGAGTCCTACTTTTCTTGAGTTACAAACCAATTTACATCTATGCAAATCCTGGAACACAAAGTTCATTCTTCTGAACTGCATTGCATTAACATGGGGTTATTGAATCTTGGAAAACATTTTTCTGTGTATAATGGCATTGCAATTAGCTGAATGCTGTTCAGAAGGCTAATTACTTCTTAAGGTGATGCTTTTTCTGTGTCTCCGGTTGGGTTATAAATTTCACAAGAGACTGATTTTCTTTCTGAATGTAGTATGCCTACAGTTACTGTACGTTAAATGTGAACTGCACCAAATTGCCAGTACAAATGTCCCTTTGTTTAATTTAGAGTTTTTATGCAAAGTTGGTGGAATATTTTCTTCAAAACTAAAACGGAGTCAGACATCATGCTAGTTCTGATTCCCCCCTCCCCCCCCCAACTTGTCAATTGGAAAATAGAAAGTGTTCAAAGAGATTTCAGTGTTGGCAAGGATGTAGTGAAGCTGGTCTGTTCAACATCTTGCTGGCTGTTCTCCATTGCCAGCATACTTGCTTATTTTCTCTATTCTTGGTTGGGAACAGTGCCACAAAGAAATGTGAGGAATCTGTCTAAACAACTTGTCTCTTTCCAAATACACATTCCATTTTTCAATTTACTTTTTCTGGGAAGCCTGTTAGGACTCTTATAATAGTAAGGCATCAGGGAAAAAATCCGTTTGTCATTCTGTTGGAAAAGAATGAGGAGGGTGCTGTAAGTGTAGGAAGCCTGAACACCTTTAGCAGAAGGATTCCATTTTGGGTGCAGTTTACTTTCCATAGATTTGAGTAGAGGACTTGACACTACAGACTGATTTTAATTGTGGCAAGGCTTTTCCTGCCAGTAGTATGCTGGTTATTCCACTATTAAAAAAATCCATGTAGCTTACAAATGTCTTAATTTTAAAGATTAATCAAATTTTGTATTAAATATATCCATGTTGATAATGCAGATTATAAGCTCATGCAGGAGCATCTGCTTCTGGTTTTGTCTAACTGGAGATTATCCCTTAATCAGGCAGGGTCCAGGTGTGTATTTTCAGATTTGTTGACTCAGGAAAGCTGGAGATAGCATTAAAGGCTGATGACATTATATTGTAGCTACATTTAGGTTGTTGCTCCTCTGAACAAGAACTCTTGCTTGAACCACCCAGTGAAAAGAATGGCAAGAAGAAATGTCCTCATTACAGGTTGCTCCTCAGGAATTGGACTGGCTTTAGCTGTAAAAATGGCAAAAGATGAACAGAAAAGATTTCAAGGTAACAATGTGTCTGTTATTTATCTTTATAATACAACAGGTGTTGTATTCAAGTTGGTGACTTGTTTCTTGGTAGTTTGCACCCTCCTACTGTCATGAAAATACAATACAGTGAAAATACACTGCTTTCTGTAAGCAGATGATATTTCTGTACCTGTATTGAAGCTGAACAGCTACTTGAATTGAGTAGTTTACAAAAAAAAACCCCAGACAATAGTATAAAAACAAATAGCTGAAAATGTCTGCAGTATGCTACCTTGGATATACATTCACAGTTGTAATTAGCTTTGCTTCTGGCTACTAAAATCTTTGTTGAATGAAATGTACATGCCCATTTGAGGACTAAAGAAATCAATTTAGGAAAACAGTTCTTAAATTTGCAATTTTTTCCTTAAAGCATGTTTCATTATTCCAACCCTGTGTAGGCATAAAAGGGTGAACAAAGGGGCTGGGATTTGTCTTTCTGCTGCAAAATGGGATATTTGCTATGACTGAAAATGGATGGCAATGCAAATACAGCAATCTGTGTTAATTCAGTTTCTCACGCTTACTCTCACAGTATTTTACTGCTGGATGCAGACTCATAGTTTTCTGGGTAATTAGGCCACAATAATGATAAAACTAATTTCTGTTTTGAGAAGTAGCTTGCAAAAATAGACATTTTTGCAACCTAAGGAAGCATGTGTCTTCCACTTTTTAATAAAATTATGGTGGTTCTGCTAAACATGTTGACGGTGATTAAAAAATTAGGTTTTAGGTACCTAAAAATGATTCAGCGGCATAACTTGATACCCATTATTTAAAGTTTTGGTGATGATATTATCTTCGTATGCTGCATGTTTTTCATTGTGCATACGGGTTTAATTCTCCTTTTGAATTTCTTGAAGATTTCAGAACCAGACTCTGGGAAATCAGTGACAATATATGTTGAAAATAGATTCTTTCTACTTTAAGTTTTTATCTGGGTTCTATCACTGATATTTAAGATGTGGATGTAAAAGCAATATTCTTTAATACTTCTCAGTAAGACTGCCACAGAAGAGGTTTTATTTCTGGTAACTGTTGCTTCTGGTGTGTTGCAGTGTATGCCACAATGCGGAATCTGGCCAAGAAAGAGCCACTCGAGGAAGCTGCAGGTCGCAGGCTGGGCAAAACCCTGGAAATTAAACAACTGGATGTCTGTGATGAACAATCTATTAAAAGTTGTGTGAATAGTATCCCTGACAGAAGGATTGATGTCCTAGGCAAGTACAGGATGTGTATGCTATGAGCAGATAGCAGTTTTCTATTTAACATTTTCTCAAATATCCTGGAGAAGTTTCATTAGTGTATTTTTTAAATGATCAAAGTAATAATTATTATATAGTGTATTCTGTTCAAGATTCTTAAGGCTTCATGCAGATATAAGTGGATTAAATCTCACCATGCTTATATGAAGTAGGAAAGCTTGTTTTCCCTGTTTACAAAGGAGAAACTTGATCACAGAGAAGTGTTTTGGATAAGATGATACAGTTTTTAGTAAATGTGAGAAGAGAACTTTTGCCTAAATTGGCATCTTCTTGTACAAGACTTTCTGCCCTATTGATGAAGCATTACTATTACAAGGAAGGCAACAGCTCTCTGCAGTAAAAAAGCAACAGCATTTGGGAATTAGCAAGTAAAAGAACAAATGCAAAGAAAGTAAGGGTACTTTCATTTTGTATTGAGAATTGTAATTGTACTTTACGAATCATTCAACAAGAAGTGTTTTCATACTGTTTTGCTAAAAATAAATATTAATATCTTAGTAAGATGGAAATTGCTTACACCATCAACTATTAAATCTTCTCTAATAGAAAATTATGGATCTGCCTTTATTTTGATTAATTATTGAAGACTGCTTAAAAAGTTTCTTCTGCAAACTGTATTATACTCTAATTTGACGCACTAGTTGTAGTGCAGAATGCCAGTTCTATCAATCATTCCCCACTTATAAATATCCAGGAGGCAAATAAAAATCAATGGAAGTGTGTGTGTTGGTTTTTAGAATTTTTTTTTTTTTTTTTTTTTTTTTAAGATGTGAATGTTAAAAAACAAAACAAAAAGCAGACCAAAATATGGCCTGGTCTGTCACCTTTTGGAACAAATTGAAGACCTCTGTTCATTCCTATGGGTATTGACTAATTCTTAATATTGAATTATAAACAAATATAGATCATTCTTGGCTCATTTTCCTGTAATGCTTTTATAATTTAAAGAAAAAGGACTAATCAGAAATAAATTAGTTAAAATGCAAAATATCAGATAATTTAAATTGGATTAAAAGCATAACTAAAAATAAAAAATATGGAAATGTCAAGTATATTTGCGCAGCTTTAGTGACAGAATAACATCTTTTAATCTTTTCTTTAAGGATTATTTAAGGATCATTTAATCCTTAATCCTCATTTTACTTTCAAATGCTTTCCAGTAAAGGTTACAAGTTAATATTTATGGAGGTTATTGCTCACTGTTGTCTTCCATTTTGTGCAGTTAGCAATGCTGGAATGGGGCTCATTGGACCTATTGAATGTCAGACCATAGATGAAATGAAAACTGTGATGGATACCAACTTCTTTGGATTGGTTCGACTTCTGAAGGAGATTTTGCCTGACATGAAGAGGAGAAAGAGCGGGCATATAGTTATAATAAGCAGTGTTATGGGAATACAAGGCAAAGTTGTGGTTTTTTTGGTTTTTTGTTTGTTTGAACTAAGAGTTCACTATTCAAAATCTAAAGCTTACCTCTTTTTATCTGGAAAAAAAAAAGTAGGAACTAGCATATCTAACTATGTGCTTTCTAATGCTGAAGTTCCAATTATAAAAAGCATAGCACTTAGACCTGATGTTTTTTTAATGCATCTAGGTAGTATGTTACTACACAACTACTCTCGAGACATTTTAACAACAAAACCTGCACAGTGAATTTTTTTTTTTTAGAGTTTTAACTCAAACTGATTATTTATTTTTTAAAATTCTATTATTTTATTTTTGTTATCTGGAAAACAGGGCTTAGTAGCATTACTTTTCTCTTTCCTATTGCAGAAGATTATGGGGACAGGCAAACATGCTTACTACACTCTGCACCTTTTTGTAAAGTTTCTCCTCTTATAAAACTCCAGAGAGTCTAATTTTAGCCACAGATAATGATTCTCCTACTCTTGTGTTCCAGCCAGTCTAGATGTATTTGTTTCAATTATTACAACAGTGGCATTGATCTTACCTGGATTATTCTGGTGAGCGAGGGTCCTAAGTCAAACTGCAAGAGTTATTACTGTTTAATACAATACTTACCATCCACTCAAATGGATTGATGTAGTGCTTTTTCTAAATCACTCATATGCAAGCTGGATCTCGTGCATAATCGTATCTCCTGCATTGCACTCAGCTTCTGTGTTCATCTATAGCCTATTAAAGTCTTGCTGATAAATAATGCAGATGGTATTGTATGTACGGACACTTTCATACTGTAGACTACAGAATATTTAATTAAAGAGATCACAGCATCAGCTAGGAGGAGGAAAAGCATTAGTCAAGCATCCTTTCCTAGAATAAACAATTTTGAGAACATATGCAAAAAATCAGTATTTAGATTCAGCATACACAAGGATTTTTCTAATGTGTTCCCAACCAGAGTGTAGAAATTTTGGGGAAAATACAAGAGTTTTTAAAACTAAACTATTAGTATGTTGAATACAATCACATTCTCAGGATGTTTTGTTTGTACCATCAGGTATCTTATTTAATGATGTTTATGCTGCATCTAAGTTTGCTGTGGAAGGATTCTGCGAAAGTTTAGCTATACAAGCACTCAAGTTCAAACTACAGTAAGTATTGATCCACTGGTGTAAACTGTATTTTAGATAATTTTAAATATATTCAGAGCTAGCAAACATTTTTAAAGCTTGCTGCTATCTAGGAGAAACAGATTGAGGAACCCATGGAAATTGTACATCACAAAAGGCATAGAAATGTCCACATTCTTCACACTACGTAAGCAAATAAAAAGGTCTAGATGCTAAAATCAACATGTTCCCTTGATCAGTTAAAGGCTGTTTAGCTTTGGATAAAATACAGTTTATGTAACGCTTCTGAAAACAGATTCTTGCATACAATATCATAGGAATAAAATTATAGTATCAACCTGTAATATTTTTCCTTTAGACAGAATAACAGACTGCTTAGGCAATTCACAGATAAAAAAGTTGAATGGCTCATCATAGAGAGAGAGGAAGTGGAAATCCATCAGAATGGAACACAGGGTGAGATACCTATAATGACAGGAGGTGGGAGGAAAGTGAGAAGAATGTGGTGTACTATTTCTTAATGTTTAAGACAATATTTAAGAGAATGGTCCTGTTCATCTGTGGGACTTTGGGGTTTGTTTTGTCACATGTATATTCACATTCGTGTAATTCTGCTACTATTCTTTGTGTGAAGTCCAACAATTGTTAAATATGCATTGCATCTCTGCATGCCTAAGCATTTAACCCTTGTGCTGTGGGAGAAGAGACAGCTGCTGTCATGGGATTTCAGAGACAAGGCGGCACCCAAACTGTGATTTTGCATACCGCTCTGAAAAGTTTGGAGAGATTTAAAATAAATATATTGTAAATGACACACAGGATATACCAGAACTCATAGTAAGATTTCAAGAGTATAAGATACAGCAAAAAGAAGGTTAAAAAAAGAAAGTAGAATGGGAAAGGTCCAAGGTCCAGTGTGAAGTGTGATGCAAGAGAAAAGGCTTTAATTCCAGCAGCAGCTGGAATTCTGCTATCAAGGTCAATAGCTTGATTTAGCTCTAAAGAAGAGCCTGGCCAGAACTCAGGTCTAGGAAGAGGTCCTATCCCAAAAAGTGTTTTGATAAATATTGTGGCTGGGATTAACTTCTGACCAAGAAAAGAACCGGGAAAGAGCTGACCAGTAACTGTATTTCAGTGATTTGCTATAATATACTACTGAGCAAAATAAAATTTTCCAGATTTGGCAGCAGCCAAAATCTGTCCACCCTCAGCAAAATTCTCTATATTGTATTTTATTATAATATTGTGAAGGGATCTTGAATTATCTAACGCTGACAGCCTGACAAAGAAAATCCATGTTTGGGCAATTGCCCCCTCTCTTACACCTACTTCTAGTATTATCATGGGAAAGCTATAACAAAGAAATCTATGTAGGATTTTGTCCAGAAAGTAATGAATTTTGATCCTTTAATTATTTTTCTTAATATTTTACAAGTTCTTGTGGATAAATCATCCTTCGATTCCACAGCTGCGAGACAGCAGGTAACAACTGCACTCACTTCTGCCATGAATTAAGTTACAGCACTTCCCCGAAATTTAAGCTATGCAGATTTCTACTACTACATGTGGATGGGTAGGAGCATAAGAGCAATAATGTGGTATGGATTGCTTTTACAGAATGTACTGTTCAATACTGCTTGCTAACGTGTACTCACAGCGCAACTCTTCAATATTCTTTTTTGAAAAGGATAGAGAGGTGTATTTCCCACGGAGGATAGTCAATAACCAGTATATCTTTGCTTTTTGAACAGGTTAAGTTTGATTGAACCAGGCCCAGTGGTTACAGAGTTTGAAAGAAAAGTATTTGAAGATGGAATGAAAATGGATCTTTCAGCTGCAGATGAGGAAACAGCTGAGATGTTTACTAATATTTACCTTAAAAATTACAAACAAATTTTCCAGAGCCTGGGACAAAGTGCTGAAGATGTTGCAGAGGTAACTTATCAACAATTCTCCATCTTCTTTTTTCTTGAATTTTTTTTTTTTGTTTGTAATTTACGAATGCACTGGTTGGTTGGTGGGTTTTTTTGGTAGAAGCGTTAGATTTAATTAAATGTAATTTACACAATTTAAAATTATTTTTAAGAAGTCAAGAGAATCTTTAGAGTTTTAAACAAAACCGTTTAGAATATTAAAAGAATGTTCATTTTGAAGTATTGAAGACAACTATGAATTGTAATTTAAATACCACTGAGGTATTAGATGCACTTATACATCATCTGGTGAAGTCTGAACATTCTGCAGTGTTACCATACATCCACATAGGGTTCCCACCATAGTTTAAAGCCGTTCTCCTCTCCATCTCACTAGTAATCCCTCCGCCAATGTTAAGATCACTCAGCTACCCCAGACACCAAGGCACAATAGAAGATACTTGGATGTAGTTTCTGGTGCTTGCGGTATCCCGCAGGAAGACAAGTTTAGGCAAGCTGTGGAAGGGGACAATGATTTCAGGTGCTTACTGCTAAGGAATAGCTTCAGTGTCAACTGAATATTCCCAGATCTTGCTGCAAAGTGCACTGTTCCAATCCTTTCCCAGTGAACTGTAAAAGAAAGGATCTACCTATTGTGGGCATACAGGCCTAATTTTGAAGAACTATTCAGGATACTTAGGTATAAGGTACTATCACCATGATATAGATAAACAGAAATAAGACTAAGAATAAATAAGAAGTACTTCTCATGGCCTTAAAAATATTTTAAGAAAAAATTCTAATGAAATTCTAATAAAACTACATAAAGGTTTTACATAATTCTAGCATTTTATTCTTCTACTTTTCCTCTGCTTAACTGAAAACTAAGTTTTTACTTTATTGTTTTGGTAAAGGTTCTTTAACAATTCCGTTTCTCATTCTTGACAGCATACAGTAAAGATAATTCTTGCAGAAAATCCACCTTTTCGCCATCAGACCAACACCTTGTATACTCCGATGACAACCCTGAAATACGCAGATCCAAATGGGGATCTACCCATTGATATATTCTACAAAATGGTTTTTCATCATGACAAAATCTTCAGTGCAAGTCTTAACTTTATCAAATTGCTAAGGTGGAGAAGTAGAAAGAGCTTTGACCTGGGAAAACCCTCACAATAAGTATGAGATTATACAGTGCAAATTGGAATTACTTGTTGGAGCTACTAATAATGCAGTGTGTTGTTATTCAAATGCCTTTGCTCTGTAATTGCGAGAAGGCATTCAAGATGTTTATTTAAGCTTACCTAAGATACTAGCTCAATGTGTTTATCTTGAACTTTACTGTTTGCAGAACCTTGAAATTAAAATCCTCTAACTATAGGTTTATTTTGTTTAGTGTTTGCTTTTTACAGATATCTGTTTTCATGGGAACATAAATATAGACTGATACTTGCATATTCAGTATTAACCCGATTCCCTTCACTTATTAGAATGTAATACATACTGAGATGTGTACTGTAGTTATTTAGATTCTTAGTATCATAAAAATACTTTCTTTTTACTGATTAGAATATAACAGAATTAGTGTAGTAATCCCTCATTCACAGGAGCATTCTCATTTTCAGAGATCAGCTCTATTTACCAGTAACATAAGAGAAAGTCTCATCAATCTCCAAATGTCACAACCAGAATATTTATTATTCATATGTATATGTTATAATATTCTGAATGCTTCCTTTATATGCAGTGGTTATTAGCATATTACACATAGTACACAATAAAATGTTTTTTAAAAGCATCTCAAAATAAAATACCTTCTGTCTGGGTACTATTTTTTGCAAAAATAACAAAATATTATCAGTAAGAAGTAATTTAAATCCATTAAATGCCTTCAGTGCCACAGGCTCTCCTTTTCCAAGGCATCCTAATAAGTACTTACTAAACCAAAATTCTAGCATGAGGAGAAGGTCTTTTTCCTCTCTTTCTCTCACCGTAGTCCTCAACCCCTAAGCTGAGGGCCTGGGTTTATGCTATTCCTGCATGGCATTCTTGTTCTCTGAGCACCAGCCTTGCCTTGCCGCTGCCTCGGGCCAAGACGAAGGCCCAGTGTCCCTCGGGCCTCCAGGCTTCTCCGCACGTTCCAGCAGCAGTCCTGGTTTCACTTGGAGAGCCCAGTTGGAGCTCACTGGGGATACAGAAGCTTTCTTTTTCCCTCAGTACTTCCTCACCAAGCCTCAATCTAACTCCGTGTTGGGACTTGCAGTGGCCCTGCCCTGCCCTACCTCCTCTCAAAGGCTAGCTTGGAGGAGCCAAGCAGCAGCCCCTGCGTAGGCAGCTCCTGCGGATACCATGCACTTCAGGTAGCACTTGGTTTGCTTTGCAGTCGTGACCCTTTAGTGAGGCCCAAGGTCTGGGGGTGCGCAGGGACCTCCCTAGGACCGCAGGCAGCAGAGTGCTTGGAGGGCAGCGCCCGCAGCAGCCCCTGCGCACAGCTGGAGGCCTCATTTATGCTCCACTCATAACTCGGACCCCTTTCTCCAAAATATCAGACTGGTGCCTGCACCCCAACATCAGTGCACAGATGCGGCACAGGTGGGAATAGCAGCTAGGCTACACACAGGAAAGCAGGAATTAAATGACAGTAGAGTGCTGCCGGGGCTGAAGGGAGCATGGCCAGTTGCCCCTCTGCACCCCAAGATGCAGCCAGAGAGACCCCGTCACCGTCCGCTGAGGGTTAGGGTTCAGCGCAGGGTTAGGGCCTGGGCAGCAATGTCCGAAGAACAGCAGGGCCTGTCAGTGGCGAGGGCTGTGGCTGGAGCGTCCCCTTTCCTCTCAGTATGGCTTAGGTGTGGTTGTCTCTGGCCTGCAGCTCGGGGCT